CTTAGAGAGGTTGGTTTATTACCGGCATCTTTTCAGCTCAGAAGGCCACAAATCTGCAGATGTAACAAGCCGAGGAGTACGAAGGTCAATCTCAATTGGATAGTCTTTAGGCAGTTCGAAAAATCTGCTTCAGGATTCCTATTGCGTGACCATGCCGGTAAGATGATTGCAGCGGAGGGGTTTCCATTGAGCGGTTCAACGATGGGGGAAGAGGAGGGGCTGGAAGAAGCGGTGTGTTGGTCTGGATCATTCTGCTTTCCTGAAATGGAGATTGACATTTCCTCTTTTGCTCTGCTGGACTTAGCTAATTCGAATGGGAGATACAGATATTTGGTCTTGACTTTTTATCGCTGTCCGGCCGTGGTTAATAAATCAGATAAGGAAGTGGCAACATTGGGGTTGCAAAGGCATTTTACTTGGCGGATTGGATATTCTATACCCAAAGAGCTTGGTGGTTCCATTAATCTGGATGAGTTAGATACTCCTTATATTTTTTGCTGAGTTTTTGTAACTTAGCTTCGATTAGTTTGTTTGTTTAATAATTTGGAGAGGTTTGGTCTCCTTTTATACTTTCTACTGATCTTTAATAAAATTCTGGCTGATGACCCCCGACATCCGCCCCACTGATTTTGGTGGTTTGTCTTCCGAGGTAAAAAAATGGAGTATGTGGTTATCATAACTTCCAAAGGAATAATGATCTCTATTCAATTCTGACTTCCATGACTAAACACCCACACTTTGGAATCATTAATTATATATTTTTGTTAGTGAATTAAAATATGCTTTCTCCCTATCCCTTGAATGTAAATTAGTTTTTCATTTTTTCTAGTCGATCATAAGTACTAACAACAGTAATATAAATTCGTTCTAAACGTGTTTTTTGTTAAAAAAAAACGGTACATATTTTAAAATGCGTTTTAAACGGAAAAAAGCTAACTAGGATTATCTATACCATGTGTATGCATAATGTGTGTATATGTGCGCAAACGAAAACTACATATTTTTACAAAAAAACATGCGACGAAAGTACAATCATTGTCAGAATGAATTTCTCCGCCAGAAAATGTACTTGAATTGTTGGTGGAAAATTAAAGTGAATAACGTAAACAATGTTTTAATTACATTGAAAGAAAATATTTTAAATTAAGTAAAACTAAAAGCGGACACAATCTAAATTTACGATACTAAACATACCATTTTCACTTGTACAAAATAATACTTCGTATAAAGTACGTGTCAAAAGTAAAGTATGATGTTCTTTTGTAAATAGAACATTGTTTAATTATTAATACAAAAGTAATAAATTTGGTTTAAACGATTTTTTAAAAATACACAAGTTGTAGACTTTTGTCTAAGTGTAATATTAATTATTTATGCATAAGTTGTATGTTTGGTGTAAATGATGTTAAAAATAATGTAAATTATTAGGAGTAATGTATAAGTGTATAACTATATAAATGTAGTATACTTTAGTGAAACTAATGAACGACAGCGTACATAGTTTAAAGTATAAGTCACACGAAAATTAAGTCAAACATGAGTTACAAACTTACCAAATAAAAACAAATTGTACTTCTAGACTAAAAAATTAGTGACAATTTGCAAAGAAAAAAATCTAAATTGATTCATAGTTTAAGTTGAAGCAAGAAGAGAAAAAACGTGGCTTGATTCTTCGTACGTAGTTAAATTTGATGAAAAAGAAGATGTATGATAAAGAGAGATTTACCTATAGGACTAAAACTTATCAAAAATGCAAAAGTAGGACCATTAGTTTTCCGTTTAACTCGATAGAACTAAAAATAGGCCGGATTGAGTCGCAAAATTGCCCCTGGTTTACGCGTTGCCTCACTTTCTTCACATCTGCGATTAATTTGTGCAAGATGATGCCTGCGAAAAATGTAGTCGTCGATGATAGCTCTGCTACATGCCTAGGTAAGGTCCTCCTCCTGCACCCACCTCCTCTGTGTACTTCTTCTCCAATTCCTATGTTTTCTTCTTCCATGTTTTTTGTTTTTCTTCTTCTTTTGAATGTCTAAATTATTTTTCTCGTCATTTGAATCTGAGAATGTCATCATAGTTGTTTTATTAAACACTAATTTGAAAGTAATGTCACCATTATGTCATTACATTTATCAAGATGACAGTTTTACTTGACATTTTTCAGAATAAATAATGACATTCTCGTGACATTTTCATAATAAACATGACACTTTTAATAAAGTGAAAGAAGAAGAAAGACTGCCATGTTTTATATGTAAATGTCATCTTCATGACAATTTTACTTTACATCTTTATTGAACATTTGAAGCAAAACTTGACATTTTCACAGAGTAAAAATGACATTTTCGTGACATTTTTATAAAAAACAAGACATTTTTAATAAAGTGGAAGAAGGAGTGACTGCCATGTCTTATACATTTGTAAATTTCATGTTCATGACAACTTCATGACAAACATAACATTTTCTTAAAATAAAGGAAGAAGAAGAAGATCGAAGAAGAAGAAGATCAAGAAGAAGGGGAAGAAGTGAGAAAAGAAACAGCAGGAAGAGTAATACCTGAGACTCTAAAATTGAAGTTGGTGTCACCATCATTTTAATTTGGAAGATGATACTTCTCAACGGAGGAGGAGGGGGGAGATGGGGGGATGCAGAGGTGTTTCTAATTCAATATGAAATGCGAGAAGAGATTGGTCGGTGAAATTTCCGATAAAGAAAATTGAGATGGAGGTATAGAAAGATTAGAAGATGAACAGAAGAAGTAATTGGGAAATTTGAACATCCCTGGAGAAGAGAAGGACCAGCTTAATGTTTGATAAGTCCGTATTTAGACACGCATTTGATGCGTGTTGGGATTGGATTTTGATGGTTTTCCTACCTTTAAGGTGTTGCAAGTCTCAATTTTAGCTCAAGTTATGTTTACCAGGCGTTGGTTCGAGTTTTGTGTTGTTTGTAGTCAAAATCAGGGAATTTGAGCCCGGCACCGGCCCTTGAGGAACAATCGGGATGATTTGAGAAGCATTTGAGATTGATTTTATAGATTTGGAGGTCATCGGGAGGTTCACGATGAAGATTTGAAGGAAAAAGAGCTCTAGGATTGGCTACGAGATCAAAAGAAGATGAATGGAGCTTGAAATCGGCGATCAGGATGACCTTCTGTCAATTGTTCAATAATATCTCTTTGTAGAAGCATCGAAAGGACACGATTCAAGTTGCATATGAAAGCTAACTTCAAGGGATGCAAATCCTATGAAGACACCTTTGCGAGAATCTGAGAGGAAGAAGGTGAAAACAGACGATGAAGTCAGATGATCTCTGCTGCGATTTCAGAATGATACCTTCCACCGTTTTGATCATATCTCTTGATTGGATGATTCAAATCACATTCGACAAATTGGGGTGGATAGAGGACTTCATTATCTACAACTTTCATGAAGGAAGGTTTGTCAAATTCGGAAGTTAAGTAGGCACTATCGTGCCCTCAAAGTCAGGCACGATCGTGCGTGAAGAGAAAGCATCGCGGAGTTACTGCCAGCCAGGCACGATCGTGCCTGCCCAAAATGCGTGTTTGTTTCTCCGGAGACACAATCAAAGGCACGATCATGCCTAGCATCACGCCTGCCTCCGAAAATCCCAATTCAGCTCAAATTTCACCCGATTTTTTTATTTAAACAGCCTATAAACCCCCGTTTTCGAGGGGGAGCTTAGAGAGAGTGCCTAGCGCGAATTTTAGAGGGCTTTTCAGCCTTGTTCATCAATCTTTTGAGATTCTTTGTAAGTTCCACCTTTTTAATTAATGACAATTAATTCTTTTTATTCCAATTCTATTGATTCCTCAATTATGAATTGTGAGTAGTTATAATTAGGGATTTGGGATTGATGAAGGGGTTGATCATGATGTATGGATAGATTCTTGATGGGTTAATTGCATGAATGTCGTTTAATTTGTGTTTGAATAATTTAATTGATCTTTTATAACCTGGAACGGCCGCTAGAATTACAATTGATTGTAGAATTATTTAAGAGAGATCTGGTTTATTCTAGGACACATTCACACACACTTAATCGTTCGCTAAGAGATTAATTAGTAGCGAATAAGGGGCCGTAAGCTCGCTCGTCTTGGCAATAATTTAGGATCCTGTCGCATGAGAGATCAGTCTGGTCCCCTAAATTATTGTACTCTATGCCGTGAGAGCGGTAAGAACTTAGTAATGATTAGCTAGGCTCAATTGAATTAATTCATGTGATTAGGCCTCATCTGCCAGAAATCTGGTTACCCTGAAATCAATCCTTGTTCCCTTCGTCATTAATTAGGAAGAACCCCCTAGTTTAATCGTTTTATTCGCATTTTTATTTTCCAGCACCCAATCTCGCACGACGCATTTTTATTTATTTCTTTTTAATCGCTGAATTTAGTTAATCTTTGATTCCCTTTTGTCCGTCCCTGTGGAGACGATACTCGTACTTACACCACTATATTACAATCTATTTTAAGTGTGAGAAAACTCACATCAATGTTGAAGGCGGCGATGAGGAATAAGAGAAGGATTGAGCGACGAGGAAAACAGGGGCTTTTTGGACATTGCAGAAACGATAAATGTCGGGAGAGGAGCGTATGAGTCCTATAATGGGAAGAAACACTCTTATTTTGGCTTTTTATCTATGTTTTGATCCTATTTAGGATAAAACATGCACCTAATGAAAGATGCACCTATCTCACGAAGTCACGATATAATATCCGCGATGTTAAGCATCAAATTTCATCTTTCAAAACGTGGAACATATATACTCTATATATAAGGATAGTTCATAATCAAATAGCTATTTATATGGGCACCATAAATTACATATGCATATACGTACATATCGTATATATTTTCTTCCCAAGTTGGCTGTTGATTTTTTACGTGTAATAAGTGTGGTGCTAACTATGTAGTAGTATATATAGGATGACACTATAAGCTAGGAATAGAATATATCTTGGGAGCGAACCTCATGGCCATCAAAGTAAATTTTATTATCGTTTCTCTTATTTTTGCTTTTGGCATTAACCTTGTTATTGCCCACAGAAAAAGTAACAACTCTCACGTATCAGCCGATATCCACCGGAAAAAAGCATCGAGACATAAACACAATTCAATAATCACTACTATAAAGGTATGAGTTTCAGTATCGCATGCTATATACATATGGAGTATATACGTTATTTTGTCAGTTTCGATATATAATACGTAGTAGTCTGTAGTAATTTTATAGTAACAAAATAATTCAGACCAGAATAAATAAAATCACTTCACGTATAGTCCAAACTCATTTGACTAGCAGGGAGTGTTCAAACGAGAAATACCTGACTGAGATTAAGTCTTTGAGTATATATGTACGTATACGGATTAGACATTTAGGACACCAAAATAGACCAAATCTGTTCAGACCGTAATATATTGAACCAAATTTAAATGTATCCGATCTGACCAGACCAGCAAATTTCAGTCAAAAACAATTTTAATCTCGATTTCATCACTTATTCGAATGTAGCATTAATAAAACCAAGAAAATTATTCAATTAATCTCATAATTTAGGGGTGTGTCCTCTTGTAGCTTCACACATACAAATTTATTTCTATATTTAACAAATTTCTTATTATTATAAAAAACTTTTTCATCGGATTACACTTTTTTTATATATTGGTAGCAATGTGTGTTTATATATATATATACACAAATGTTCATGTCCGGAATTCCGGACAGGAATCGCCGTCCGGACGGCGGCGTTTGGCCGCCTTCCCGGTGCCATTTTTTGATGAAATTTTTATGGCATGTTCTCCATCAAGTCTAGTTTATCCTAAAAAAAATTCAGCCAAAAACTCAATCGGGGGGTCGTCAAATGATTTTTGCAAGTTAACTGGTCCGAAATATGTATTTTTCGGACCAGTTAACTTGCAAAAATCATTTGACGACCTTCCCGAATGAGTTTTTGGCTGACATTTTTTGTGGATAAACTAGACTTGATGGAGAACATGTCATAAAAATTTCATCGGAAAATTCCACTTGGAAGGTGGCCAAACGCCGCCGTCCGGACGGCGGTTCCGGTCAAGAATTCCGGACCGGAAGAGTACTATATATATATATATCTTTATATATATAAAAGTAACATGGTGGGATTTCAGGTGAAAATGTATTTGCTGCCAACAATTCGATTATTAAAGTGTCTTAATTGATGTTTTATTAGGAACATTAAATAGCATATATGATGATGACAATAGAAGAAATATACGGAGTAATTATTAATTAAGTTATTTAAGATACTTAATCATGGAGCATTATATTAATTATTGTAAGTTTGTAACTCACGGTTACTACATTAAGTTATTTAAGATGCTTATTTATGGAGCATTATAATAATTATTGTAACCTACCGTTACTATATAATGCTAGCTTATTATGAAGTAGTTAAGTAGTATAATATATAGTGATTTTCCCGAGAATTACATAGTAACCCTGGGGTACAGTACTTAGGGGTGTTTGGATCTGATTCTCAAAACTGATTCTGCTCCTTCATGGAGCAGAAGCAGAAGCTGGAGTGTTTGGGTGAAATTCCAGAATCACTTCTGGAGCTCTAATTTACTCTCAGAATCGGTTTTTTTAGAAGTTGGAGGGTACCAGCTTCTGAAATCTGATTCTGATTCTGCTTCTGCTTTTCAAAAAGAAGCAGAAGCGGAATCAGTTCCAAACACCCCCTTATTATAATGCTTATCAAGTACTTCCTTCATTCTTTAATTCTTGCATCATTGTGATAATTGCACTATTCAGATCACATACCTTATTTTGATCATAATTCTCTACTAATATACATAATCAAATTATTACGTATAAAATGTTATTGAATTCACATCAATGTGAATTTCTAAAATATCAACTTTTTATAATATTTACTAATACATAATTAAATACCATTACAATCAAAGTTGTGCATTAACAAACATGAAAGTCAAATTGTTGCAAAAATTAAAGAACGGATGATAGTATATTATAATTCTCCTCTTTCAATAGAAAAAGTACTTCATATATTATATTTCTCCATGATTTCTTAAAATGTTGCAAAAGTTGATTTGAATATGAAATAAGAAAGTAAAAATTGTGTCGTACAACATTTTTCCAAAATGAATTTGCATGTGGGATAAAGTCACGGCCTAAGCTTCTCATTTGGCACGTTTATTTAGAAAATAAGAGCCCGTTTGGAAGCATGAAAATCGATTAATTTGACTGATTCTGCTAAAATATATGAAGTTCTGGCTGAAGTAGCTGCATTGGCCGATTCTGTTGATTTAAGAAAAAATTATGTTTAGAATATACTACCACCGTCTCGGTGGACTTTGCCAAGTGCAAAGTAAGTGAGAAATAAGGATAGTAAAAACTGTGTGGTTGAGATTTGTGCAGAGGAGAGAGAAATGTGCAGAACCACAAATTAGTTGCTTTAATAGTAAAGTAGCAAAAGTTTTTGTGACAACCAAAAAGGGAAAGTTGGCAAAGTCCAATGGGACGGAGAGAGTATTTTATTAATAAAATAAAGAAAAATTATATGTAAAATTAACTAAAATGGTCATCTACACCAACTTCAGCCGATACAGCCAGAAAAGTAACTATAACCTTACTTTCTGCTTATTACACAACTCGGCACGGGAAAGCAAGCATTACGTGTTTGGTGAAAAAGTTGGCTGATAAGTCTGATTTCTCATTTGCAATAATAACTATGTGTATACATTTGACTCGTGAAATAAATTATTTTAAAAAATAAAGCAATTTTATCCATTAACCGTGCAACGCACGGGTCAATCGACTAGTATATATATATATTTATTGCACTCTATTTTATCAGAAAATTAAGAATCCTTAATACAGACAAATTTAACCGCCACAGGATTGAACATTTAAGTGGATAAAATTTCCAGACTAAGAATGACCGGCCAGTCGGCCACAATAAAAATTAGGGAAAAGTGCAGAAAACGTACCTGTGGTTTGGGCCATTTTCAGATAGGGGCATGTGTTTCATTTTCTGACAAAGTGGGGCATGTGTTTCAATTCCGTTATCATAGCAGGGGCACGGCGTCTAACGCCGTTAGAAAAATTAACTCCGATTTTAAAAAGTCTCCGAAAAATTAAAAGAAAAATACTGGGAGGTGCGCCTCGTCAAGGAGATCAACAAACTATCTTTCTCTTTGGATTTTTCGGCTCTATTTGGATTATTTTTTAAAAACAAATTCACTAATATCAATTTTCTGGTGGACTTTCTGGAGATATGGTGGCTGGAAACAAAAAAATAAAGATAGTTTGTTGATCTCCTTGACAAGTCGCACCTCCCGGTATTTTTCTTTTAATTTTTCGGAGACTTTTTAAAATCGGGGTTAATTTTTCTAACAGCGTTAGAGGCCATGCCCCTGCTATGATAACGGAATTGAAACACATGCCCCACTTTGTTAGAAAATGAAACACATGCCCCTATCTGAAAATGGCCCAAACCACAGGTACGTTTTATGTACTTTTCCCTAAAAATTACGTGACTAAAATGTTAAATCTATCAGTTTAATGGTTAGATCATGTTTAGAATTAAATCTTCCCCAAGAAAATTAGGGAGATTTCAACAAGTAGGACATAATCTTGCTACTTTTCTAAAATTAAGACTACATCTTTACGTAAGACCTAAGTACATCTAACTTGACCAAAGTGCCCTTTCTTTTAAACTCCCCTGCGCATCAAACTTCATCGACGCTAGCTCTCTCCTCTTCACGATTCATCAAACAAACATCATCGATCTAGGCCAACATCAGCGCTGCGGATTTCACCATTACCGATGTCAGTCACCGCCGCCGACGCACCAGATAGCTGCTGCAGTTGACTTCATCAGACGCCATCACCGGAGGTTTCTTCTTCTATCACCTCTTCTTCCTCATCTTCTTCTTCTTCTTTTCTGATTTTGATCTCTGATTTTGCTAATTTCGAACTTCTATTTCATATTTTCACAAGGTCACTAGGTACTCTGCAAAACTTTTGAAGAAACCAGATCCAAATCCAAACCTGCAAACACTAGACAATACATAGACAATGAGTAGTAAATAAACAGACAATAAGTTCTAATAATAGCTCAATACCAGACAATATATAGACAATAAGTAGTCATTATACAGAAAATAAGTTCTGATAATAGCTCAACAGCAGAGCAGGTAATGTAAAACTGGGAGGACAATTGAACTTGACCTTGAAATTGGGAGGAAGGGGCTTAGGAGAGGGGTCGCTGAAATTTTGGCCTTTGTGCGTGTTTAGGTTTCCGACGATGATGGGCGACGACCTCTGGCGGCGATGAACATCAGCGAACTTAGTTGTGGCCTACGATGAAGAGTTGCAATTAATTGAAATCAAAATTTCTCTGGTGAGTCGTCTTCTCCGTCATCTTTCTCTGTATGATTACGCAGCAATCACGGTGAAATCGAAATCATATTTGTGGGGGAGGCACCTCTCATTCTCTGGTGAAATCGAATTATTACAAAGATTATTACTAAGTGAGGAAGTGAGATCGAAATATTACACAGAAGAAGACCGTGAGATTGGATGATTAGTGAGATTGGATGATTACAGAGATGAAGAACGGAGGAAGAAACAAGGTCGTTGATAGAGAGATCTCGCTGCGGAAGTTTTCTATCTTTAATACGCAATATAAAGTAAAGGGTAAAAACGGAAATTACAAACAAGCTTTCCCAAAACAGATGTAAATAACTCTTACCGATGGAAAAAAACTAAACAGGTCCTATTTTTATAATCTTTGTATGATTTTGTCTCCCCCGTGGCAATTTTCTCAGAAAATTATATCTTGAATAATGATTCTATATTTACCGTTTAATGCTTAATTGAGTTGACATAAATAACCCAAATCAGACAAACCGATTTGGCCCAAATTAAGGGATCCCATAAAATACCGGGATAGTTGCATGATAACCTGCTAATTAAACAATGATAATTCTATTGACATCCCTCCAATTACTACTCAAATCCCCCAACAAATTAAATGTAATTTTAATGAAAAAATCTTTGACAGTCTATATTGCCCTTGGATTACAAGCCACATACATACGTTCCACATCGATACGTTTATACTTTGTATGAGAAATGGAATTTATCAAATGAACTAATCAAAGCCTCATCCATATGTTCCCCCATCGATATACTCAAATAAATTAGTCATTTCGAATCAACCACTTTGGATTCGTTTTTTTCGAGTAAATGAATTGAAATTTGAAAAGGATCTTTTTCATTCATCCACCATCAACTCCAAAGAAGGTGAAAGTATTGTCTTAGAATTATGCTTGGTGCAACCTTTGCTGTTGTCATGGAAAATGAGCAAAATTAGATTTACAAATCGTAACTTAAAACTAATAAAAGCAAAATTGACGTATTCTATTTACTCTCACTGTGTCACATGTTATCTACGTGGATCAATTAGAATATTCCGATTAAACAACTCGCACTAATCAAATTCATTATAGATACGATATCCTCACCTACGCGCGGGTACGGCAGCATATACTAGCTTTCACATAACTATTTTTAGCTTTAGTCCCATGACAACACATTGAAGATTATTTGATATGTGTCTATATCTGTATGTATATGGAATGAAGACCATCCATGGTGACATTTATGATTGCGTGGACATATATAAACAACCGGGCATGCGCCATCCGGCAATGGCAAGTGAAAGAATTCGGGTAATTACTTATGTGCGTTATTGTTTAAATTTCAAAATAGAACTATCATGTTATTTTATTTCTCGAGTAGAAGTAAATTTCTGTCAAATTTGACATTATTAGGGTTTAAACGTATCATTTGTTATCAAACTTGTCAGATTACTCCTATGCAGTGAATAAAAAACATCATAATCCTATTTTGGAATTTCAAAACGTTTTTCCTCTTATTTAGGACAATTTCTATACTGTAATTATTATTTTATCTTATTTTTTATTCTTAAAGAAAACTGAACCAAGTAGAGTGCAGATGGTAATCTCGCAGGAACTAGAGAGGCGTAAGGAAATGCAGCTTGCATCCAAGGAGGAGGAGACAGATCAGGAACGACGGCGGACATCAGCAGCAAAATCACTTTGGTTGAATAAAAAGGGGTGCCCGCTCGGAAGCGTTCCTATTCGTCGAATGTCCAAACACAGGAAATTAGAGCCAAAGGTTCAACCTCATTTTATAAACATGGACGATCGTGTGTACGCAAGTACCACGGACAGCCACCTTGATGTAAGTAAGATTGACAAAATGGAAATACAAAATAATTGGCATATATATATACAGCTAAAGAATTGAATTTTCCCAAAATTTAATTAAAACATAAGAAAAGTGCCGTTTTATCGTCCGGTTTATATCAGCTGATTGTGTTAGCTATTTTTCCTGTACTTATCATTTGCGGGTTTAAGGGTAAAAAGTAATATCTTTGTTGTTTATGAATTGCAACAGTTTGACTTTCACATTTGTCAATGCACAACTTTGACCATAAATATATATATTTAATTACATATTTATAAACATTAATTATATAGAGTTTATATTTCAGATTCACCGACTATTTAGTCCGATTATGATCTAGTCTAAAAGCCCGTAAATATCCGTTCAATAATCTCTACGATCGAGTTTTCTTGAGTACCAGGGTTTTCACCTTTCTTTTATTAATATCAAGTATTATGTTTATGTCAAATTTTAATAAGATTTTTGCCAGTTCATTTGTTTTATTGTCATCCCAAGATATGTAGTTTAACTATCCAAATTAATTTAAATATTAGCATTGGCAGATTTAATTTTATCATAGGTTATTCTTGGAAGCTGCAAATTTTAAATCCATAAGGGATAGATGAAGTAGTATGCATGTTAGCATGTATGTGTATGTATGTATTTATATCCCAGCATATTGTAAAATAAAATTGATTCCATTCATCTTGTGTTTCTAAACATATTATTATATTGTGGGTATCACGTGTCCATGCATGAGCCCAGTTTGCAGGACTTATTGTTAGAAATGCTCCATCCGGGAGATTCAGCGGTGGTAAAGCCACAATGACTATATGGAATCCACAACTCAAGGGAGACCACCAATACAGTTCAGTGTCTATGTACGTGGAAGACGGAGACAATCAAATACGAGTTGGTTGGATAGTAAGTAAACTCTATAAAATCTAAAAGCCCGATTATAATCTAGTATAGATCTTAGAGAATTGAACCGATTCACCGACTATTAAGTCCAAAGTCCAAACTCGATCTGGACACGTTACGCATACAGGTCTTTGGTGAGTCAAATGCATATAGCATAAATGACACATTAACTATTGGTATCATTTAGGGGTGGAAATAGGCCAGCCGGCCTGTCAGGGGCCTATGGCCTGGCCTGTTAAAAGCCTGGCCTGGCCTGGCCTCTTTAGTAATCAAGCCAGGCTTGGGCTTTTTAAAAAGCCCGTTTATTTAAAAAGGTCAGGCCTAGCCTAATTCTGAAGCCTTTTTACCTTAACAGGCCGGCCTATTTATATATGTGTATATATATCTAGTTATATTCATATTTATTTGTATTATTTATATTTATATTGTATTTATATTGGTATACTCAACTATAGCAAAATCGGTATAATAGTATTTTTAGGGAGTGTGTATTATAAATTAGAATAGAATACTATTTTAAATATACATAAAGTGTGTTAATAGTTTATTAAGGTAATTGAAATTCAAAGTTTTTCAAGATTTAAAGTATATAGAAATTTATAAACTACATAATAATACTCCATAATAATGTATTATTAGATATCTAAAGCAAAACTAACGTATTATTATACTTTTTAGTGAATATTTAGGGAAATAAATTTTATAGCGGATTAAAAGGATTTTACACTTTTCATTTTTAATTTTTTTGAAATTTTGATTTTTTTTCTTAACAGGCCCGGTAAACAGGCTTCAGGTCAGGCCAGGCTTTTGAACAGGCCAGGCCCAGGCCGAAAAAACAGGCCTTTAACAGGTAACAGGCCAGGCTCAGGCCTATATATTCTAAAACAGGCCCGGCCTGTTTAGGCGAAAGCCTGGCCTGGCCTGGCCTGTTTCCACCCCTAGTATCATTGCATTTTGAAGCATACTCTTAAATGAATCAAATCAGTAACACAACTATATATAAATGTAATATAAATGTTTGAATTAGGAATATTATTCAAATTTGAGGCCAACCAATCATACATGACGATCAAAATTACATATGTAGAGTTCATCCTTTAGTCCTGACATGGACAATGGTAATGTAAAGTTGACATTACGAATAGAATTTTGACCGTCACGTATGATTATTATCCAGAAATTTGAATAATATTGTGAATTGGTACATTTATGTGTAGTTATAGTACTGATTTCGGTCAAATTTAGCTGGTGGGAAGAGACTAGAGAGTATCACGGAGAGGCCCCAAATTAAATTTTTCCCACCGGTATACTACGAACAGGTTATGGTCCGGTGCGAAACGATCTTAGGCCGTTGTTTACCAACATCATAGCTCTTACGCCGCATAAATTGAAATAATTTCACAAATATGACCAAAATAAAGATGGTTTACAAAAATATGATTAGTTACTAGAGTAGTAATGAAATCATAGTATTCATGTTCAAGTTTTAAACTTTAGTTACCACAACAATACATTGTAGTAATGAATAGTCATATTTATGTAAATAAGTGTTATTTTAGTAATATTCTTGTAAAAAACCCGCATAAATTTGGATATTCTTTTTTTTTATCATTTGGATATTCTTTTTATAGATATGAACGGATTCACATAATAATAATACTCCCTCCGGTTCTTTTTAAACTTCACACTTTTCTTTTTGGACGGTCCAAAATAAACGTCACACTTCCTTATTTCCTTATTTGACAAAGAAATCTACATCAAAACAGTGTTAAATAGTGTTAAACAGTGTCTCAACAGTGTCAAACAGTGTCTCAACAGTGCGAAACAGTGTCAAACAGTGTCTCAACAGTGTACTCTACAGTAAAGTCAAATTTATTTCCTTAATCAATGTGAAGTCAAACTGTGAAGTTTAAAAAGATCCGGAGGGAGTATAAGATAATGCTAAAGCAAGATTTAATTTGTCAATTTCACATGCTCGTTTAGGTGTATCCGGCATTATACGGTGATTCGCGTACAAGATTATTTAGCAGATGGACCGTAAGTGGTGTTGTTTTTGTTTTTTTCCCACATTTATTTCATAATCGTATTTGTTAGAACATCTCCAATGCAAAAACGTGAACAGTGCATACGTGACATGAATAATAGCCAATTAAAAAATAACAAATAGAATATCGCTTTCCTTATTTGAACGGTCTTATATGTTTTTGGTAAGTTTTTCTCCACAATGTCAAGCACAATGTCTAGATGTAGACACCGTGGTTGACATTGCAGAGAAAAACTTACCAAAAACACATAAAACCGTGGAAAGAAGGAGAGAGAAACGTCAAAAATTTAATTTCTTGTGTCTATTTCTCTCATGCCACATGTGCACCGTGCACATTGTAGCATTGGAGATACTCTTATTGGTCTCAAAATGCATCTAATAATTAATTAATTACTCAATTATCTACTGATGCATCAATATCTCCGTAAGTGTTGTTTTTGTTTTTTCCCATATTCATTTCATAATCGTATTTATTATTGGTCTCAAAATGCATCTAATAATTAATTAATTACTCAATTATCTACTGATGCATCGATATCTCCGTAAGTGTTGTTTTTGTTTTTTCCCATATTCATTTCATAATCGTATTTATTATTGGTCTCAAAATGCATTTAATATTTAATTAATTACTCAATTATCTACTGATGCATCAATATCTTGTCAAATGTACAGAGTGACGGCTATGCAAAAACTGGATGTTATATCAATCATTGTCCCGGATTTGTAATATTCTCAAACATCATTCCTCTTGATTATCCGTATCCCAATATGTCAGAGTTTGAAGGAACTCAATACGATACTACTCTAATCGTTTTCAAGGTATCAATTTAATTTGTTTCTCGTGGCTTTATACAGCGTGCAAATTCTAACGTCTGCCAAAGTCTCTTTTAGTTCAAACTTTAATTACTCCGTAGATTCTAAATAGTATCCTTAAGCTTAAGGTCTTACTTAGTACTTCCCCCGATTTTTAATAGACTTCACACTTTCCTTTTTAGGACGGTCTAAAACAAACTTCACACTTCCTTATTTCCTTTTTTGGCAAAGAAATCTACATCAAAACAGTGTCAAACAGTGTCAAACAGTGTCTCAATAGTGCCAAACAGTGTCTCTACAGTGCCAAACAGTGTCAAACAGTGCCTCAACAGTGTACTCTACAGTAAAGTCAAATTTCTTTCCTTATTTTGTGTGAAGTCAAACTGTGAAGATTAAAAAAAACCGGAGGTAGTATTTCTTTATTTCATAATTCGTTTATGTCTTTGATTTAAACCACTTCCCGTGATTAAAATCATTTAGAAAGTTACACGAAAGGATCACAAATAGTCAAAAAAATATTAGTCAACTACCAAGTGAACGAAGTATATGTGGATTCTATAGTATCCAAACGGTACCATATCTTTGTCCACATGGATCAATTAGAATGTTGCAGTTGAATTATTTAAGTCTAAATTAAAAATGATATACCTATTGGACCGATCAAGTGAATGCTAGGTACGGTACCCCATTTTTAAATGGATACCAGAGTTCTCACGCAAAGTATAAGGCATGGAATAAATATGGAATTGATGTAACTCATAGGACCAACCGTTGAACTACTCCCGAATAATAAGTATTACTTCCGTCCCTGAATTATCTTCCAAATAGGGTTTTGCACATTAATTAACAAAGTGAGAATTGTTTGATTGAAAATTGTGTAGAAATGACATAAATAATGCGTAAGAAATGCTGCAAACCATAATTTTGTCAAAAAAGAATTAAAAAAAAGTTAATTTGAGGTGGATGAAAGAAAAGTTGAAAGATAATTCAAGAACGAGAGTATATCACAATAATACAATAAAACAGAATTCAAAAGTTCTAATTGTTTAAAATTCCATTGATTATTTTGATTTGTATATATTTATCATGTACGCTGTCCTAGTATTGTTAAGGAAAATCTATATACAGCCCATCATTTACTAATTACAGCCACATAATTTTATAATTCTCATTAAACCCATGTATACACATACGGTCGATATGCCTGTCTCCTATTTTAAGTTTGAATGGGCATCAATGACTTTTACCACTTTCTTTACGATGCTGGATGTCACTAAGGCGGTGGCAGAGGTTACAGGGTGGCGGCGATGAAAATGACTAAAGCTATGGTAGCGGTGGTGGAGACTCTAGCGGACTAGTGGCGGGTTACCTCAGGACTCCAAGAGCTTCTCTTTTACATTTTCGATGCATGTGTTCTTTTTCGTGTCCGTCCGTATCGCACAGTTGTTCGAAGCCAACTCTAATGGTTTCAAATAGGCTTAATTTAGCTTTTTTGTGTTAAACCGTAAAGCAATCATCTGTCAGATTCACCCTTTGAATTAGACTGATTTTATAAATTCATATGGAGAATTATTAGAATCAGATAGCGGCTCTTACCAGGATGCACTCTCATTTCATACATCCAAGTTTATCTTCCCCAAACAAAGATGAGATTAGGTATATCTCAAGTTTTTGCAAAAATAATACTCCGTACGTAGTAAATCTCAAGTTACAATTGGGGATTTAGAAAAGGAAAACTCTAACCAGAGGGTGGAGATTAATATGAATCTTAACTGAAAATTGTTAACCCATTTGTTAGTCTTAGATTTTTTTACGGAACAAAAGTCTAAGACGAAGGAAAGAAAAGAGCACTGGTATCAGCCACCGGAAAAAGAAGACGAACACAAAGATTTTTCCATCGAAGAAGAAATAAGTGGGCTGGGGTACAATCGGCAGTTTATTCAGAATTAATTAATTAGAGGCTGTGAATAGCAATTAAGTGGCTGTATTTATAATTACCCTATTGTTAAAGTCTTCGTATTTCTTTATTGTAATTGTTGTTGGACCAAAATAAGTCCACGCTAACTAAAATCAGCTAGTACGAAGAATTAGTATTGTTTGTTCTGATTATTTTTCTGGACAGTCCGGGACTCTGAGTTTCGTAACAGGCTGAGAACCAGTCTGTCTTGTCCTTCAAACGGGCCAAAATTTAAGGACCGATCCGCACCAATAAATGCCCGAACCCAATTTCAAAATAAAAGAATTTTACGACGTTTTAGGTAAAAATGTTAATGTAAGTTGAGCAAGAGCTATGGTGTATAAACTAGAGATTTACAATGATATAATGATTGTTTATTATATGAATCGAATGACTATTACTCTATTAGGATGTTTTCTTTTCCCTTTCAGTCGCAGACCAAAATAAATGAGACAAAAAGAATGAGATCAGACTTAAACAGATTAAAGGAGACCAGACTAGATTTAAACAAATCATATCAGACAGACTTGGACTATTGTAAAATAGATAGAGACAAACCTTTATCTGACTAGACCAGACCAGACCAAATTCAAACAGACTAGAACATACCGGATCAGACAAGACCAAGTCAGACCAGCGAATTTCAGTCCAAAACAAAACATCCTTAGACATGATTTTATCTGGATTGATATAGACAGTGTTTACAAACACTTAAAAGAAGCGCTACTCGACTTTTGGCTTAAAAAACTAAAAAAATGTTTTCGAGTGACAACTTCTTCTTAAATAAAACATTAAACAGTTAAAATCTAGAATATGCCTTTTACTTTTTCTATTATACAAAAGGCGCATATTTTACCAAATATTACCAACGTTTACTTTTCAAAACCACTTTTTTTCACAAATACTACCAACATTTACTATTAAGCACTTTCTCCAAAATCACTTTAAAAGTGATTTTTTTTAAAGCACAAGCTATTGCAAACACTCCCTTAGAGCCCGTTTGATGACCTGTTTTTTTCGCCTTAGCAGTCAACTTTTTCACCAAACACGTAAGTTTTAATTTTATGCGTTGAATGTGTAATAATAAAAAAAATAAGGTGAAAATTACTTTTCTGGCTACATTGGCTAAAATTGCTGTAGAGAATCATTTTAGCTATTTTTCCTATATATATTTTTTTCTTTATTAAAATTATTTTAAACATAATTTTTCATAAATCAATAGAATTAGCCAATCAAGACATTTCACGCACAACTTCATATGTTTCAACAGAATAAGTCGATTCAGTCAATTTTAGTGCAACCAAACGGGCTCTTAGTCACGATCTCTCACGGCAAATCAAATCATATCATATTTAAATTGAATTGACCATATTTAATTCAATCAAACATAGATATTAATAAAATACACATAAAACAAACCCTTTTCAAATCATATCTTATCAATCTAATGTGAATAGGCCAAATCAAAGCATAAAGTATTTGATCGAACCAGATATTTAATTTCAACCATTCTCTTTAAATTTTGATCATAAATGTATTTAATTTTGTATGACTAGACATTGTTTTTATTCTTTTATGATTTATAAATAAGACTATAAAATTAAATATAGATGAGATGCATCAATTAAAACCCTCATTGTTTTCTTCATCAAATTGAATCTATTCACTTCCTATTGAGAAAGCTTTACACTTTTAAAAGAATCAAATAATTCATGTTTTAAGAATAAAACATAACTACTCAAATTTGTGCATCCATGTTTTACTTTTATTTAGAGTAATTTCTTTTATAATTTGGACATCATAAAAATTTAGATGGTACGAAATGAAAAATCCTAGGAACTAACGGACTAGATGCCTGTCACACCTACCTCATTCTCTAAATATAAGGATGTTTTCTTTACGTACTATTTCATTTCCAACTTGACTTTGGTCAAATTTTACATGGAGTAGAATAGAAAAAGAAAAGTTGACAAGGAGTAAATAGAAAAAGAGAGTATAAGGACTCCTATATTAGAAATATAAAACCTATAATTCCTTTTTTTTTGACAATATTTTGCTTTTATTTGGGGTAAAATTTTCAAGTATGTATTAGGAAAAATTCACATTAATAATCCCAACTATCATCAGTCTTCCAATATTAATCCCACATATAAGTAATTCTAGAATAATCTCAAGTTTACAGGCCTCCTTCCCTTATTGATCCGGTTTACCTATAACTTACTCAGCCGGTAAACACAAGTAAAAAGAAAAAAGAAAAAATAGTTGAGCCGCTACGAGATGACGGACGACCGACGATGGAGACCAGACTAGCTGGGATGAGAGGGACGAGTGTTGACGATAAAAAGATTGGGATGGACGGAGGGCCCTCGTAGAAGAACCAATAGGATTAGACACTTGGACGACAATCAATTGAAGAACAACTAGGTCAGATGGAAAACCGATGGTGAAGAGCAACTGAGATGGACGCCCGACGACGATCTACGGCTGGTCTGGACAGCAACCATGGAATATGGACAAGCTGTTGTCCGTACTCTGCTAAAAACACTTTATGCTCAAGCCCCAAGAAAAGAAAAGAAAATGTAGAGAAGATAATTTTTTAAAAAGAAAAGGCTGAGTGAGCTTCTAACAAATTAGAAGTAAATACAGAGCTTCTTAAATTTGATCGAAGCCAAATTCGATAAGGGAAAATTGGAATTGGGTTTTACCAATTTAAATATTCCTAAATTAAACAAAAAAAAAATGAAAATCAACCAAATCATGGTCTGTGAAGTTGTACACCTTACCAGTGAAGAAGGAAGAAAACGGAAGGGAAATGGTGAAAAGAAAAGAAATGCGCATAGAGGAAGAAGGAAGAAAAGAGGAATGCGCAGAGAGGAAGAAGAAGGAACAAAAGGATTAAGAAAAGAAAATGATAGACCAGTAATAATCTGACACGTGTCCGGGTGACCTGCTGAATGGGTTTACGCAGGTCACCGGATTGTTTTGAGAATATGCTCCTTATAATTTAGATTATTCTAGAATTATTTATAGGTGGGATTAATATTGGAAGACTGTCGATAGTTGGGATTATTGACGTGAATTTTTCCTATGTATTATTGGTTGGTGTGAAATGAAATCCTTATACCGGCCTCATAAGTCATAACACAATGTGAAAATCGAACGACAAGAGTAATAATTACTTTTTTTTGTATAAACATTTTTTAGGGTTCAGCAGGTGATTGGGTGCTAAATTTCAACGAAGAAGAAAACCTTGGTATGTGGACAAAATCCATATTTTCAACCATGAGTGAGAGCGCAGCTCAATTGCGATTTGGAGGTGAATGTTTCAAACCACAAGGCCAGGAATATAGTCCTCAAATGGGAAGCGGCAGATTTAAAAATGGACAGTATGACAAAACCTGTTACATGCGCCGATTGTTTTATTTTGATCCTGTGTACGGAAATAATGTTATTGACGATTCGATGGTTCAACCTCAAGACTCCAGATGTTACTATGAAGGCAATTATGGATACAATTACAAAGATAACTTTTATGCTTACAATTTTTTCTTAGGAGGGGGTGGAGGAAGAGATAATACCCAATGTTTAGACGGTTAATTGTCTGGCCAGTGTTATGTGCCTATTCCAATGAACCTTTTAATAATACTCATTATAATTGTAATACTCTATATTTCTACTATTTATAAAACTCTTTCACTACTAGGACAATTCTTATATATTCATAGTCATTCCTAATCCTAGTCCCATATCACTCCTTACATAGGATGTTTTTACTTAGTGTGTAATATGTCTCATACCAGACTGGACCAGATCAGACTAGACCAGATAAAACCAGACCAGACCAGATCAGACCAGGTCGGACCAGACTTGTTACAATTTTTGACATTGTGACATTTATTTAGCATTGTGATCATTTCCTACGTTTTAAAATGTTACATTGTTTGAACAATTGTCATTATTTTAATTTCAATAATGGTATGAGTCATCAGCAATATTATAAGAGCCAATGGCTAAAATAAATCAAAGAAATAATAATTAAAAAATCAGTATACGAGTACAAATTAAACAAACACAATAAATTGATTTTTTTATCGTAAAGCGCTTATATCATTAAAATAGCAATCAGCAGGAGTACAAGAACGTGAAAGGATCACATGTAACCATCCGCCCATGGCCGAGACTCTGAGTTAATCACCTTAAACAAAGCAATATAACTTGCTAGACCGAATTTGGGCAAATTAAAGCTAACGACGCCTACCGCAGACCTTTCAACCTCCAAACCTAATGCTAAAGTTTCACAGTAAAACGAAGAATAAAACCAAAGCACAACAGAAAATCCGTTAAAATAAAGCCTAAAACAAAGAAAGAAATAAACCCCAACACTCGAAAACTTAACCAAAAACATCCACTGCCAAACCGGCGGGTCTAGGAGTTCTGACCCGCCGTCTCCCCATTTTTTGGCACATCAAGTGCCATGTCTTCATCCCTTATATTCTCTTTAAGCTTGTCCTCCCATATTCTCCTGCGTTTAGTCTCTCCTGGTTCCCCTTCCACATCAATTGTTCCTTGCTTAGCTGCGCTAGCCCCTGTCTCAGCTGATTGCTCCTCCTCGAGTTCATTCTTCCTCTGCTGTCCGGCTCCTTTGAAGCTTACAGGATCTTGTACAAGCCACTTATTAGGGCCTGCTAGGCTAGTCTTTGCTCCTCCACCTGCCCTAAGCTCAACTCCAAAAGAGTTTTCAATAATAATTCCCTCCTCATAGCGTAGCAAGCAAAACTTATCCGAATGCCCAATCACCCCACATATGAAACAGAAATTGGGTAGTTTCTCATACTTGAAATCAACCCAATGTCCCTTTCCTTCCTTTTTTAGAGAAGTGCCCTTTTTCAGGGGCTTCCTAACATCCATACAGATTCTGATTCTCAAAAAAGACTTTCTTTTGTCTCCATAACTATTTTCATCAAACTTTTTAAAAGAGCCAATAAAATTCCCAATACGCCTTGCAGAATTCAGGTTTCTAAATTTTTGAGGAACATTATGCACCTGAACCCAGAAGTCTGCCTCAAATAAAATCAGTTTTCAGGGATATCATCTGGTTGAACTGTTTTCAACAACACTAAATCTCTCTCAAAAACCCAAGGACCATCTTCTAGCACACGGTTCATATCTAAAACATGATTAAAAGTAAAAAGATACCTTTTTTCATTGATTTCCTTGATGGATACTCCCTTACCAGGACGCCAAGCTGAAGTCATCGCATCCTACAGCGCCTGAAAGTTCACCTTCCTATCGGAGATCACCATCCCAACCACCGGAAAGCCAATTTGTTCTTCGGTCACTTCCTCATCACCGGCTTCCTCCGTATCAAAATCAAGTTTGTTAGTTGCCTTCCCAATAGCCATCTTCCTATAATTGTGAACAATTTCTTCCATCTACAAACTTTAGATTAACCCTCCTTCAAAAATCGAAATCCAAATAGAGTTCGTCGCTCTTCCCCAACCCCTGAGTCGAAACTGGAGCTAAGGCCTGCGAGCCTCACCACTCTGAAAAACAAAACGAGCAAAAAACAAAACAAACGAATGCCGAACTTCGATCGAATCGATCGAATTCGGAAAAGCACCCAGCGGCTTACTAAGCCCTAGGAAGGAGACGGCGGCACTTCCATGTTCTTGATTGCAGAAAAGAGCCGATCGAAGAGGATGGGGATTCTGTGATGTTGGGTGCAACTCCTAGCCGATCAAAGGAGACGGCGGCACTTCTCTAGTATTTGTCATTACATTACAAAATACTTCTACCGTTACAATAAATTGAAAATTAACACCTTGAAAAGGAAATTAGATACTCCGTATGTAGTACTTCGTCTTACAAAAAGAAAAGAAAGGAAGCGCTGCAACAAGTTTGACTTATGAGGTTATAAGTCATCCTTTTTAACTAATGAAAATATTTGTACTTAATTATGAGGTTGAGACATATGTCTTTATATTAGTAGGTTAACATGATTTTCGTTGTCATAAATGCAGTTAAATTAATTTTCACCTAGTGCAGTTAAAAATTATGAACCTACATAAGTGCATAATTATGAACAACAAGTGCATAAAAATATTAAAACCGAACCAATCCAATTCCTATCTTCCTCTTTTTCGTTGTTATAATTTTCATTTAATTTCTACTTAATTATGAGGTTGAGACTCCCTTTTTGTTGAGTTAGGTCTGTATAACCTACTTTTACTTTTAAGTAGGTCTCAAAAGTCTCAAATGTCTTCAATATGTCTGTTTGATCACTATAAAGCATCTTATATATGCACTTAAGAAGAGTTCTTTGTAATTTGTAATTGGTCTCTCATTCACTTCTTTGTAAACCTACATTGTAAAAGAAATGATATTGCATTTGTTATTTATGTATACCTTTTCAATATAATTCTTAACATATATAACCTTAAATCTTCCTTTTTCTACTTGCCTTTTTCCTAGCTGCCCGTTCTTGATTTTCTTTTCAAATTTGTTTTTGCTTTCTTCTTGATTGTTCCGTTTTTTGTTTTTCTTTCATGTTTTCTAGAACTATTTTGGTTTGTATTCATTATTTTAGGGGTTAATCTCAACCTATTTCTTCAACTGTTATTACGGATTTTGCTTTTGATCTTAGGTGATTAATTTCATATGTAAAATGAGGTGAACTCTATCCATGATACTGTTCCAAAGTTACAGGTCTTTGAGTTCAACTCTCACCCTCTATTATACTAGGATACTTTGCTCAAGACTTGGAGCTCCAATTTGTGGGCAAGTATTTTAACTGTTTCAAATTGCATTCATTATTTAAGGGATTAATCTCAATCTACTTCTTCAGCATTTATTAGACTTTGGTTTTGATCTTTAATTTGATGATTAATTTCATATGTAAAATGAGCCCCTTTAGCTTACTATTGTGCTCTAAATTCCTCATAGCATGGTTAGAACAACAGAAAACATAAATAGATTGAGAGCAATGAATTAATGTGAGATAGTAATAATAATAGCAGCCACATCATTAATACTACTATTATTCCTATCTTCTTCTTCGTTGTTATAATGTTCATTTAATTTCTACTTAATTATGAGGTTGAGACTCCCTTTTTGTTGAGTTAGGTCTGTATAACCTACTTTTACTTTTAAGTAGGTCTCAAATGTCTCAAATCTCTTCAATATGTCTGTTTGATCACTATAAAGCATCTTATATATGCAATTAAGAAGAGTTCTTTGTAATTTGTAATTGAATTGGTCTCTCATTCACTTCTTTGTAAACCTACATTGTAAAAGAAATGATACTGCATTTGTTATTTATGTATACCTTTTCAGTATAATTCTTAACATATATAACCTTCAACCTGGACTACATTGACTCAATGAGTGTAACAAAACACTTAAAACATTAGGAAATCAAAGCATTGAGAAATTTGATGATTGTACCCAGTATATGACTCCTTTTTTGTCATTATGTTACTTCATTAAGTTTATAATAATAATTAGCAAAATAGCTGAGCTTTTTTTTGGAGTGATGGCATATATTTAACCAAGAGAAAGTACTTTATAAATACTTTCTTTTAATGCCTTTCACAACTAATATTTTGTGTTAATAGGTATAGGTTTAAATTAGTCTTATGAGTAATGACTACCAGTACCAACCGAATTCCAACATGGAGATGAGATTAATGATAGATTTAATTAGGGAGTGTTTGCAATTGCTTCAACTTTAAAAAAGTGATTTTTTAAAGTGATTTTGGGAAAAGTGATTAATAGTAAAAGTTGGTAGTGTTTGAGAAAAAAGTGATTCTGAAAAAGTAAAAGTTGGTAGTGTTTGGTAAAATAAGTACTTTTTGTGTAATAGAAAAAGTGAGAAGCAGTTTAAAGCACCATTCTACCTGCTTCCAGCTTTTAACTTTTAAGTGATTAATTTAAGCAGAAGCTGTCATTTGAAAACACTCTTTTCAACTTTTTTTAAACCAAAAGCTGAAAAGCGCTTTTTTTAAGTAACCCCAATTAAACACTCCTTTAGAGTAGTGGTGCCTGGTGAGGGGTCATAAATGGATTCATCACATCATGGAAGTGTTTATGTGCTACATCTATTGCACTGTTGGGAATGTGACTAGCTCTTAGTTGTGTATTTTACAACTTTTATTTTGTGCTTCATTATGCCTTGATAATTGGTACATTTTAGAGATTTATTTGTAGTAACTACGTACCAGCAGTTCAATGATTGATATTGGTATATGATATAATGATTTACGTTAATTTACATATTCAATCTACTTTATATTTACTTGTGCTCTTATTATTCGATTAAGATGAGTAAATCTTATGTTAATTGGCTGTGTAAGAAAAAAAATTAGTTACAACGTGAATTTCAATTATTTGGGAGATTACTATCCCGTGTGAATTAAGTATTCGTAAAATACTACCCAAAATGTTATTATCTCCATCCCACTAACATTGGACATGAGGAGGTGATACAGTCACACAATTATTAATTAATATTAAGAAAAGTGAGTTTATGTGGTTGATATTGGTTTGATAAAGTACAAATGATTTAGAACCACACAGACTTTATCAAATCTAGTATGTGACAATTTTAGTAGGATAAACCAAAAATGAAAGATGAGACAATCTCAGTGGGATGGAGGAACTATATTTTTACTTTAAGTATTGGTAGTTCATTATAGTAGTCAATAAACATTGTTTAGTCAAATTCAATTATGTGATTAAAACCTTGATGTGTTATAAGTCATTACATTTACGTAGTGCGCACACAGGCTATAATAAAAAATGTTTTTGTGTCAGAACTTAGATGATAACTTAAGGAGTGAAAAAATTGTAGTAATTCTTTACTAAAATAAAATAGAGGATTGGACGAAATAGAATGTTGTTTACTGTTTAGCAACCACAAATTTTCCTTGCAAATACACAAGCACCTATGAGGAGATTTATGGCCATATTACGGCATGTCATCAATAACATACAACTCTTGGAATTTTTCCTTCTATAAAGTTAATGATGTTTGAAATATTTAAATCTATTGCATTCATCTAAGAAAGCTTTATTACAATTCGTGGAGAATAAGTTTCATATTTTGTGTTCTAGCTTTTAAATCTAATTATCAAGCTGTAGAGAGAATAATTAAATAAACTGATCTTAACAAATATGCTCACAGCACTATGAGCCAAGTATACTACTCATACTCCGATAATTACTAATATGGAGATTGTTTTGCCACCTTAATATTACAAGAGTTTTATTTTCCTAAAATGTTTCTAACAAAAAATTTATGGACAAAAATGTAACTTTTTGTGGCTTTCTTTATTTCATTGTTGGGGAACATTTCACTCTCCACCAATTTGTGGTCTCTGTTAGGATTGGAAAATTCTTCTATTCATAACCAGAACAGAATTACAATAGGAGGAGCAACTCTCTCACTCAACTATTACAAAAAACCAACCCTTTCATACACTCACTCTATGTGTATCACTCTCACTACTTTTCTCTCCGATTTTTGATACATTTGATCAAGCTAGAACCACCCTATTTATAGGGAAATGCTGGGAGACAATTGCATGCAGCCCATATAGCATCCCATGCCTTCCCATGCCTTCCCATACCTTTTAATTGATGGAGGATGGAGCTTCATGCCATGGAGTGGGTGTGTGTATGGGAGCTGCAGCAATCCTACAAATCTCCCCCTCCAGCTTTTTCCGTAATTCTCTCATTCCAATGATGCTTGTACATAGCTTGTGCTTCTCGTGTGGCACCACTTTAGTTAGCATGTCGGCCGCATTTTTGTTTGTGTGTATCTTGGAGAGCTTTAGTTCATCTTCCTCAATTGCTTCTCTAAGCCAGTGATATCGAACATCGATATGTTTTGTGCGTGAATGATACATTGAGTTCTTGCTAAGATCCATAGCACTCTGACTATCACAATGAATGATGTACTCCTCTTGAGGAAAGCCCAACTCTTGGAGAAAACGTTTCAGCCACTTGAGCTCCTTCCCGGCTTCAACGGCGGCAATGTATTCAGCTTCTGTCGTAGACAATGCTACACACCTCTGCAACTTGGACTGCCATGAGACGGCTCCCCCTGCTAGTGTGAATATGTAACTTGAAGTAGATTTTCTACTATCAAGATCTCCAGCCATATCAGCATCTGTATAACCTTCCAAGATTGGTTTCGTTCCCCCGTAACACAAGCATAGCTTTGATGTACCCTTCAGATACCTAAGTATCCATTTGACACCTTCCCAATGTTCTCTTCCTGGATTTGACAAGTACCTACTTACAACACCAACCGCGTGAGCAATATCAGGTCTTGTACACACCATTGCATACATCAAACTTCCTACTGCTGAAGAGTAGGGTACTGCTTTCATCATCTCCTTTTCTTTCTCAGAAGAAGGACAACTTTCCTTACTCAACTTGAAGTGATTGTCTAGCGGAGTGCCTACAGGTTTGGCATTATCCATGTTGAACCTTTTGATCACGCGTTCAACATACTCTTCTTGTGATAAGAACAACTTCCTTGCCTTCCGATCACGAACAATTTTCATGCCCAAAATTTGTTGCGTCGGGCCTAAGTCTTTCATATCAAAAAACTTAGACAAATCTTGCTTCAAGTTGTTGATGAGGGACACATCTTGGCCTACTATCAGCATATCATCCACATAGAGCAGAAGGATGATAAATTTTCCATCTGGGAACTTCTTCAAGTACACGCAATGGTCTGCCACTGTTCTCCTGTATTGGTGCTTCACCATGAATGAGTCGAACTTCTTGTACCATTGCCTCGGGGCTTGCTTGAGGCCGTACAGGCTCTTC